GAGTCTCTCATTTTGGTTGCCAGTTCGTTAGCCAATGTTTTTAACAGCAACATTCGTATACAAAAAAGTAACACCACGCTTTTATTTAAGCAGGTACACAAATCAGTATACGCAACATTTCTGGCTAAACTCCAGCAGGTGGTTTGCATCAGTAATATGTGCGAAGGAGCAACATGTGCTACAGGCAGGAGGATTCTGGTAACAAAAGCGTGATTGTAGTTGTAATGACATTATTAGACCAATATGAGTGCATATTACATACTGTCCCTTTAAGTTTAAATTCTTTTTATAATCAGTATAAAAAAAATCTTGCATTTTAAAATGTAAATGCTTGTTTCAGTCCGTGAATATTACAATAACAAACATGCCATTACCAAACAGTTGTTTTAGTTTTTTACATTGATTCACATTGTAAGCAGTTTAATTCTCTTCTAAATAGATTTTTGATACATCACTCTTTGTAATCTGGACAACTCACAGTATGTTTGAATATATTTAAAATGAATGCACTATCGCCATTTTTTATTCAAATGATTAAAAGAATAAGTGATTTCAATCTGCGATTTCCATTTTGATGCGTTTATGTTGGGTGCCCATTCCGTCGCCACCTTCTCCATTTAACATCTGATCATGGGTGAAATTGGATCTGAGTCAGACCAGTGCCATAAACTCAGAAACATTAAGAAGGCAGTCTTCCTCTCTCAGCGTCTCTCAGTTCTATAAATTAAACATTAAACAAGATTAATTATACGGGTGAGCTGCTTGTTTGTTTTTTGGCTTCCAATGTAAATACGGAAATAATGTGTTTGGTGGAGTCTTAAAAGTGACACTGCGGAAATGAAAGACTGTTGTATCAGAGAAATCCAAAGTGTGATTTGTAATTGCAGCCAAACTCATGAAGTCTTTGACCAAAACTATTGTATGATTATTTCATTTTTATCAATATGCTATTTTACAACAGTAGCATCACAAAGATACTCCATTATTATTATGTGTAATCACTTTAAATTGTGGTTCAGAATACACCACGACATTCTGAGTTTTTTCATCGACTATACAATGAAAATACAGACAGGTGAAGTTAGTCCGACATGTTGATTGTGTTATTCTCACCCAGCGTTCTTCACTTTCTATCTTTGTGGATTTCTTTTTACTTTAGTGATTCATACTGTCACATTTTGGAACAAAATGTAACAAGTACATCTGCAGCTTGTTAGTGTGACCGGCTGCTATGGTCAGCACTTCAGTTATTTGTATAATAAACTTATAAACAAAACTTAACCAAACTTAAGACCAAATATGTGTTAGGATTTAGTTTGTGCTGTCGCTCCCCTCTTGTATCCCATTCGTGCATGTGTGTGTCTATTCACCACTTCTCTGCAAATCTCAGTCAATAGTGCATCCAGCTCTTGAGATATTCACCTGCTGCTCCTCATCTCTTCAGATCCAGTTGTGTCCAGTCCCTGCTTCTCTTCCAGCTAAGTCGGCCTGCTCCCTGTTTCCGCTGCCTGCTCAACTTTAGCATTGCAAATATAGTAAAAAAAAAAACTTGTTAAATGTCTCCAGTCTTCTGCCTTACCTTTGGGATTCTGGGGTCTTCACACCAGAACAATATCAGCCAAATAATATTTAGATGCACCCTGGGCATGTGGCTTGTGCGGTACAAAAGGAAAGTTCAATTAGCAATAAGATTTAATTCAATGTTTGTAGGAAAATAAGAAATCTCTGTTTTAAGGCCTAAACTGGGATCCTCTGGTATTAAACCTTAGGCCCACCTGTAGACAATCCAAATATACTTTATTTGAACAGTGCCTCGGTCCTCTACACTTTTTTGATTGTGCCAACACCCTCCTCCTCCCCATCACCACCCAAACAGTGGGTCGACCCATCTCCAGATGTTGGTGCTCGGCTTTGACTGAAGGAACTGAAGGATTTCATGTTTTTAGTGGTAGGAGAAAGCGGAGAACACAGAGAAAACCTACACTGATATGGGGAGAACATGCAAACTCCACTGTGGAAGATCCTGTTCTGAAGTGATGCAAATGTGATAACCACTCTGCCACTGTGCAACCCCATCCCTTTAGCTTCTGCCATTACCAAATCTATAGAATGATCTAATCAAGTGTAACTTTTTAGATCTTTTCTTTCCAGATTGAAACAGCAGCCTAATCATTAGTTCACAAGAGCGGCTGTTGCTGATGTGGTTCTTTGAAAATGTAAATCATGAGAAAAAAAACAACTTAGAAAATGTCAGTCCAATCAGGTCATTCACACTCTATCCGACTGTCGACTTTGCCTTTGGGGAAACACATGACACAAGGAGTAAAGCTGTCAAGACCGATTCCTATAGAGCGCCGTAGTGACCTTGGATGAACCCTCCATCCTTTCTCTTCATCTCAGCATCAAACCAGAGACACGTGTCAGAAAGACCATGTGTGGAGCCGATACACCAGTGCAACGACAGGACCAGGCACTTTTACAAATGAGGTTATTCCCGTCCCCTTAAGTGCTGCTAAATTCTGGATCAGGATCTTGCTGCCGGCTCCGATCTTTGGCTCTTCAATAAAACAAGTCGCCCTGGAGACTCACTCGTTGGGAATGAAAGTCATAGTACTACAACGTCTATTTATAGCCTCATGTTTCATTTAAAGACATCATATTCAGTATTAAACTATCCACACCACACTTTGACAATTACAATTCAATTTATTTTTGCATGGCCCTAACAGTAGTTGACTCTGAGGACTTTGATCAGAAAATCAAACAGTGAACGCAGGAAATGCAATAATAACAAACACATAGGAGCTATTGGTTCATAGGGGGCGGGATGAACATTGTCCAAAAATGTTAATAAATGCCCATAAATAAAATGTTTTGTTCACTATATGCCATAAAACTGACCTAAATGGATAGATTAAACGTTTATCCATTCATCTTGTGCTTTATACAAGTATATCTAGAAAAAAACAATTTGAACAATAAGCCTGTTTAATGATAATTTCAGAAAGTGAATCTCTATATTGTTTATCGCACACAGACATTTCAAGTCTTCCGCATCACTTTGTAAGAGCAGATGCTGAAGATGTAGATTTAGTCCACACCAGCAGCAGCCATGTGGACTAAATGCACTTTAGGAAGCAACCAAATATGTCAAATAGAGATGGCCAAAGATGCTGTATGTGGTCGGTGAAACAGCCATTTTCTAAACTTTGAAGCCTTGAAAGCAAAATTCAATCACACAAGAATCAATGGAAATAAAAGGTTGGTTCGGCGGAGGACGAAGGAACACTGTTGAAATGATCCGAACAGTCCATTTATCTGAAAGTTTAGGCCTGGTGCGGCGTCGCAGCGGTGAGAGCCTGGGCCTTCACTGCAAGAAGCTCCTGAGTTGGAGTCCACTTTCAGATGGGGCCTTGCTGTGTGTAGTTTGCATGTTCTCCCTGGAGCACCCTGGATTTCCTCCGGGTGCTCCAGTCCCCCTACCACTAAAAACATGTACATTAGCTCAGGGTGAAGGAGACATGGGCTAGAGAGGTGTGTTCATTATAAAACACTGTCTCAGCCAAATAAACAATAAAAATAAAAAAGACAAGGCCAAAGATTAATAAGTTTCTTGAACTCTAAACTGTTTTAGTTTGTGATGATAGAGACATTTCCCAACTGTGAGACGAATAAATTATCTCTTAATCTTGCTCTTTAAACATGACTAGCCTCGTGATCACAACCTTCTGAATAACCTTTCCCGTGTGAGGACTTTATAATCATTAAAGCAGATCTCACATCATCTATGGCATCTGAGTCAAGAGTCTGCAGCGAAAACAACCAAGATTTGATTTGTCACTTTGTTCTTGGGAAAAATCCGGAGAATGTTTGCCAGCGTCACATCCCACTCTACATTATCGCATTTGTGAGTATGACAGTTTGACAATGTTTGAAAGCAGAGTCTTCCAATAATGGCTCTAACCTCATCTCACATGGTTTCTCCAGTGTTCCCATATGATGCATGACACCCACTGTGCATGAACGTGTCAAAATGTGAGAATGACACTTTCCATATGAGACATGTTTTTTCATGGGCGGTATGAAGGACGTGGTTCAACTCAAAGGAAATCTTTAAAAACAAAAGGGTATATTTATCAACCCTGGGGCTATGGTCCAAAGTACTATAGAGTGTGCAATTTTTAGGGGTTGGTCTTTCCGCGTGGGCATCACAAATCAGTTTGCTCCGTGTTAGGTGAAACCAATTTTGCAAGGACTTTAATCAATTTGTTATTAAATATGTTCTTTCTTGAGGACAATATTTTCAAGATTACATTTATTGTGCTGAACAGAATGTGTTTAGGATTTGGCGTTTAGACCCTGGCAGAGCACTGTACAATTGCAGAAGATTATAAGATGATATCCCCCGGTGGTGGTAGCTAGGAGAAGGATGAAGGAGCTGGCCGGGAACAAGGTGGAGATGGGGAGGAGGAGGGTTGCAGCGTGAATGAAGCTGCTGCTCGGATGGAGCGTCCTTGCAATATGAAGCTGATGCGGGCAGTGCCTGATTGCTGCAGTTGAGGATGTGCGTCTGTCGCTGCACAGCTGAGTGTGACTGACTGCTTTTGGAGGAGGACTTTGAGCACTTTGAGCTTCCAGTCTGAATATGCACTTAATCTTCGGTTGACATTAGCTGTTTAGCATAAACTCAAACATACAATTGAACTTTTTTTTTTTATTTCTTATAATTGTAGTGGATTTGGAATGGGGGTCCAAATCCACAAGGACAACAGCTCCATGAGTGCTGGGTTTTCTTTTGGTGGCCTTTTTGGTACCACATGCAGAAACTGTCATAAAACATAATATGTATGAGTTTCTTCTGACCTATTATTAATATTGGTAACAGCTCAGTAGACCTGCTGCAGAAGGAGACACAGGACCTCAAGAGTGAAGTGTCCTTTCTAAAGTCAACCTTGGATGTAGAAAGGAGCAGCTTGGTGGAGTCTCAAAGAAAAGTGAACATGCTTGAGAAAGAAGCACAGGGGTTAAGGAATCAGGTCTCCTCCCTGACCAGTGCTCTGGAGGAGGACAGGACTACTCTGGTGGAGACTCAGAGGACAGTGCAGACACTGGAGCTGAAGAAAGAAGTCTGCTCTGTGACATCTGCTCTGGAGGAGCAGAGGAACATCATCACAGAGGGTCAGGATCACATGGACGTGTTGGAGAAGGAGACGCTGCAGCTGCTGTCTGCAGTGACAGAGCTCAGCCTCAGGGTGGCGCAGCAGGAGCAGACCATCCAGGAGCAGATGGACATGTCCACAACTCAACAGCAGGAGCTCCAAACTGCTGTAGCTCAAGCAGAGACTCTGTCAGGCATGTTGCAGGTGGAGGAGCAGAGAAGGACACTGCTGGAACAGAAGATAGAAGAGCTTTGTATCATTCAGACCTCCTCACAGAAGATCAGCTCCACTCTGAGGCAGGAAAGCAAGTTTCTAAAAGAAACCATGATCATGATGGAGCAGTGGCAGCAGGAGAAGATGCTTCAAAAGAAGAACAACAGAATAGGATGGTTCTTATGTGGCTCTCAAGGAGCTTCCAGTCACTAAGACCAGACTAAAGCCACTGCCAAACCACAACCACAAAACCTCACTTTATTAGTTTGACTCATTTGGGTTTTATCCATTACATCTTCGTCAGACGGCTCTTTTCCAATGGATGTTTTAATCCATCATTCCCCAACAACATGGACTTCCCCCAGCAGCCGCGTGGAGCTGCCCGGGGAAGCCTCTGTGCGTCTCATATGATTGTATATGATTTTCTATCTGTAATATTTGGTTCAAACAGTGAATAATTATATAGCATCATATTTGAGACTAAAAGGATTTGATCTCAGCCTGAACCCAAAGAGCCATTTCAAGAGGAACACACACACTGGTTTGTGAGTTTGAGCAACATTTGATGAATCACTTAATGCCATAATGTCAAATGATATTTACATAAAAAAAAAAAAAGAATAATGACTATGTTCAGTGTGTTTGAAGAGACATTTTTCCACTGAAGGCACAACTGTTTTCTTTACATTGTATTTTATTCTATTAATATGTTTTAAATTCAATGTATTTGTTCACACAAATCATTGAACAGTTAGAAATGTTGTACATGAATACTAACTGAAAGGACATTCTAAACAAAAAACAAAACAGAAACATGAACATTGTAACGTAATTCCCACTGCAATATGTGCTTTGTGTAGAGTTGTGTAGAGACCAGTTAAAGATTTTGTTTTGATCATTTGAATACATACAGCCTACAACTTGGAAAGAAAGCTTGTTGACTTTGCAATTATAGTCCACTCAACCTTCTTCTGTAATTCTGCTATAAATCATATGTGTTTTATTATTATTATTATAGTATTGTTTTTGTTTTGTTTTTTGTTTTACATTTTCTTGTTGTGTGTGCAAACAATGCTCCCCCCTATTGAAACTATTCTTACCAAAATTACAACAACGGTCATCTTGAGGGCTGTCCATAGACTGTATATATTAATGGACAGAGTCACGCCTATCTCCGCCGTTCTAACTAATGAGCCAAAAAATGTGCTCTACGGCCATTTTGGAGCAATCCAAAATGGCCGCGAGTGGTCCCCCCCACAAGAAAATTGTGAAAAAACGCATCTGTGCATGCGTCAACCGGCGCAACTCCATTCATTTCAACGAGAGACTTAAAAAATTCACAGCAAGTAAACTAGAGTGGACCAAAAAAATTCACCCCCCTCAGCATTGACACATGTGGAACGGAGCTTTGGGCCAAGAGCCAACTTTTGGTCCATCCTGTAAAGACGTTTTTGAGAGGTCTGCCAATGCTATATGTTAGCATTGGCTAATTCGTCTTCTGGGTCCACCCCCATCGGCCCGGGCTGGTATTGCAAGCATGTCAGCGCACGTCATTTTGGCCACTTTTGAGCTGAGACCCTCCCCCACTGGGGCTGTCACTCGTCCACAGGTTCAGGGCGGGGGGTCGAGGCTTTCAGACCACTGCTTTCATGAAACAGACAGCGAGACATAAGGTGAATAGCAATGAACATGCTACAGGAAGAGTCAAACTGGACACGGAGGAAAAGTAGGAGCGCTCATGTATCCTGCAGTCAGTGATGTGTGAGAAAGGTCTGTTGCACAAAGCAGTAGCAGAGTATGATAATCGCGGTTATACGGGGCTGCCTATACTCTGGGACACACACACACACGCGCAAGCACACGCACACACACTGTTACGGCGCTTGGCATTACGATATGGTCGCGGTCTTTTTAGCTGACATGGCTCTTTCGTCCTGTGGCAGAATGTAGTAGTAGTAATCTTTATTTATATACCGCCTTTTCACTGCACATCGGAGTCTCAAAGCGGTTTACAAATTGCTATTTTTTTGGGCATTTGTCTCTCGCTCCACACAGAGATGGGAGCGGGGTCAGTACAGGAGGCGCATGCCAGACCTAGTGTACATATTTTTAGTGGTAGGGGAAACCGGAGAACCCGGAGGAAACCTACGCAGACACGGGGAGAACATGCAAACTCTACTCAGAAAGGCCCTGGTCCGACCGGGATTCGAACCGAGGACCTTCTTGCTGAGAGGCGAGAGTGCTATCCACTCAGCCACCGTGCCGAGTGGATAGCACTCGGCCATCCACTCAGCCACCAATATGGGACTGGATGTGGAATGGCAGCAACTCAAAAGATTGAACCAAAAGGAGTCTTCTTCTTTTTCTAATAGTTAGATTGCGGCAAAATGCGCCAAAATGGCTATTAGGCAGTGTCAATATTTGTTGTATTTTTTTTTCTCATCAAATAACGTTTTTGCCATACCTCCACACTCTGACAACATTCTCTTCTCCACACAATCTGGCAACATACGCTCCTTCTCCTCCTGCTCCTCCTGCTCCTCCTCCACACACTCTGACCACAACCTATACGCTCCTCCTCCACACACTGACAACATACGCTCCTCCTCCTCTCCACACACTCTGACCACAACAAGGGGTTTTATGCCCAAAATCCACTGCACTCACAGTGGACGCTAAAGTTGAGCATACAGTGTTTGCTAATGCTTTTATGATATGTTTCTGATGTGGATATTTGGACTCAACATTGATAAAAACAGCGATCACACACCTGTCTCACTGCTCCTCCTCTTCCTCCTCTGCTCACACACCTCTGTCTCCTCCTGCTCACACAGAAGACACAAGTATCCATCTCTCCATACACTGGGCTCATTCCAAGCCCCGGCGAGCCAAGATGGCGCCCTATTCAAATGAATGGTTGTGCTCAGTGGCGCTTTGTGATTAGCGGAAGTCGCCTGGAACTCGCAAAGATCTATGGGAAACTCGCCTGTATTTGGGCGTCGTCTGGTCCTCCCGGTTCTGTGCAGTGGATGATCTCCCATAATGCGTTGCGTCAAACACGCGTGTGTAGGTCTCACACCGGGTCTCACGCACGTCCTCAGAGGGGCTTGGCTGCGCTCTGACCAATCAGAGCAGTTCATCAGAGCGGGAGTTAGAGCGAGAGCCAGACGAGCAGAGTTTGTGGCACTAAAGTGTGGATTTAAACAAAACCAAAGGATTTAAGAAGAAAAGTTCAGAATGACAAGGGACACTAAAATCCCCACAAAATCCGATCTTTATTAAAGCTGTAGGTTCTGTCAGCTGAGGTCGAGCTGTTTTAATTTACATTGAGTTCTATGGGGAAAATTTCTGGGTAGCCCATGTGAATTTAGTCTGGTTCAGTCTGCAGTACCGCGAGAATCCCCTGAGCACATGAGTTCTTCAGCTCCAAGCTAGTAATACCCTATCCAGTTATTATAATAGATCCATGTCTCATTCCCGTTACTTTCTTCGTTCCTCACTCAGACCCAGACACTGCTAAAGTTATCTGACAGCTCCGTAAAGTTTGTTTCGGAGGACCCGCAGGTACATAGCTGCCCTTGCGCCTGCCTGTTTACAAATCGCTTTTGGTGAAAATTTGACTTTACTTGTATAATAATGTACTTTTGATCAAAAGAAATCACAGAGGTCCAGAAAAAGGGGTTTAGGGGTCCGAACTTGGAGAGCAGTCCGCCCTTTGGGGACCCTTGAACTAGTGTATTTATTAAAAAATAAAAAGGAAGGAAGATTGCGAGGCCCTGTGCGACGGCACAGATCGCACAGCCCCTCCGACGGGCCTGCACCCGGCATCTTCACGGGAAGATGTATCTTGTTTAATGCTACTGAATGAAAAAGTGTTTGGGTTGTATTCTTTTCCTCAACTATATCCTTAATATAAAAGGCCCCTCTGAGGCGATTATCACGTCTGGCCGGAGAGATGTTGATGTGATGAAATAGAGTTTACATCTACAAAGCTAGTTAAAGCACTTTACTTTAATTTAGCATATAATTAGGTAATGTATAATATATGGTGTATATATTATATATATATATGCTGTATTATGTTATATATTATGTTATATATTATACAATAATGTATTGTGTTATGTTGTATATTATGTTATATATTATGCTGTATGTTATGTTGTGTATTATATATGATATATATGGTATGTATGGTATATGTGATGTACATGATATATAATATATAATTAGGTTTGCTTGAATCGGTTTGCACACCTGGTGTGCAATCCATGAATCTCTTTATTCAAGGCTAGGTTTAAAACAGTCCTCTTTAGTTTAGCATATGGCTAGGAAGGTAAGACTCAGGGAAGGCTAAACTCCTCAGACTGTCAGTCAAGCTGCATAGGGAGTCAGTTTGCTGGGAGAAGTATGGTAACTTGAGCACTATCCTCTCCTCCTTCCTACTTTATCTACTTTATCTGTTTAGCACTTTTAGGATTCTGACTGTAGTTTGTTCATTGCTATTCACCCGTTGTCCCATTGTCTGTTTCATGGTACGATGACGGGATCTCTGAGCCTGGCCTCTTCCATCTACACCTGCGGACTGCCCCGCCCGACCCGCCCGGGAGTGCTTTGGTCCTGCACCGGACCTGTCCACGTTCAGCGTCCACTGGTCCACGTTCTGTAGCTAGCTTAGGTCCTAGATCATTAGCCTGTCCGTACGGAGGAGCGGATCCCTTTCTCATATGGGTCTCCCTCCCTGTGGGTTTCCCTAGTTCTCCCCAAGGTTTCTCACTTTTTCCCACTGGGTTTTTTACGAGTTTTTCCTTGTCGATGCAGGAGGGTCTTGTTGGACAGTTAGTGTCCAACAGAAAGGATTGGTGATGATCAGGACACTTTAGCATTCTACAACATGTATGGACATTTTCTTCTGTGTGTGCTTTATATTCTCCATGTGTTAACTGTTGATTCTCTGACTTGTGTTGGTGATTTCAATGGTTTTGTTAAGTCCTCTGAGATGACTTCTGTTGTGACCTAGGGCTATACAAGAATAAATTGTATTATATTGTATTGTATTGTAGTGTTGTCTTTACCCAGTATGATTGCTACTTCATTCAAACTCCAAAAGAAACTTTAGAACACTAATGATCAACTTGTTTGATCTGGCCCACAATTTTATTCCAAAATTCTGAGGATCAAAAAAATAAATCAAAAAGATTTGTGTTTGGGAT